GGAGGGGGAGAAGAAGAAGAAGAAGAAGAAGAAGAAATTATCTTTGGTAATTCAGCCAAATAAATAAAAATATATCCATTTAGCTGAATCATTTTCCAGAGTAGAAACCTACATCACTATACATGCATGTCTTTAATTTCTGACAAAAAAAAAGCTAAAGCTGACTATGGTGGTTCAGGACTCAAGGAGAAATTTACAGCAGGTCTTAAAGTTCATGGAAAATCTAAGGCTATTATAGATAAAAGTACTTGAACTATAGCCATTCTAACTATTTCAAATGGAAGCCGGCCTTGGTTCTCAGTATCCTTTATTTCTTGGACTTGGCTTTTATCTGGTTTACTATGATTTTTCAATGAATAAGTCAGATAATTTTATTTTCATTGTCTTCTATTCTCTTTTGATCTGCTAGATCACATTATTAATCATCTTTGATATCTATCCCTGCCTAATACCATAATTAAGACTTCCTGCCTCTGGTAAAATAAATTTATTCAATCTTTCCTACACATCACATATATTTTTTTTCTCTACAACTTGTAAAATGTCCAGCACATTAAGTACTCAGTAATGATTTGAAGCTTTACCTGAAAAATCCTTCATAGTTTTTTGTTTCATTTTTATTTTTTAGAAGCCACATATACTACTTTTAAAACACTCTTCAAAATTCTCCTCTTTCAGGTAATCATTACAGATCAAACCCATCTCTAGTGGGTCACTTGGGGCTAACTTAGAATAACTTCAGTTAGTATTATATAACTTACATTTATTGACCTGTTTCTTTATAAAATTATTCTTCAGTCTTATGTATGTGTATGTTTATTCTTCCATTTGGGAAAATAATTTCTGATGCCTTTTGTTTTATACTACAGTGCCTAAAATAGCCTATGTATACAATGTGTTCTCAAATTAAGCCTGCCTGATTTTTTTTGAAAATTAAAATATTATGTCTCTCTATATTTATAATGTTAAATATTTGTAATAATTTAAAATAATTTAAACAGGATAAATTGAATACATGCAGTAAGTTCTTCTGAATGCCTATAAAATGCCAGAAAACAAAACCACAAGGACAAAAGGAATGGGAATATGGGACAAAAGCAACAAAACTGTGAGAGCAGACTGGGAAAAGTAAGTACTGGTAATTGAATCAACAGACCCAAGAAAGTTGAATGCTAAACTAGAAGTATAGAAAGCCAACAACCAATCCATTTATAACACAAAATTCCTTTAAGGCTCACTAACTGGCAAGACCAAATATTTCTGTAATATGGGCTGAAAACACTTTCTGGATCAAAGTTAATTTAAGAATTCTTCAGTCCCTGTTCCCGGAGAAGCCCTTCCCTTCTAATGAGCAGAGCCATATTACTGACTCTCTCCTCTCCTGGCAAAATATTAGAAGTTTTCTCTCCAGAAAAGGTCAAATAAAAGGCTTCTGGACTAGCTGAAGTTTCCAGACACCCTGGCCTTCTTTCCTAACATGGCTTCTAGAATGTTGAGGGCAAGGCAGAAGACTATTTACTCTGAGACTCTGGCACTGGAGTTTTATCAAAGAAAGGATCTAGCTGGGTCATTCTACAGTGAATACTATTATTGAAAAGTCATACCCACATGCACACAATTTCCAATCAGCTTTTAGACCCCCACCCTGAAATCTGAACAGACAGTCAAGAACCAGCAGACATTCAAAGAAAGCATCTATTATGAAAAATAAACTAAAACAAACAAACAAGAAGAATCAAATTGGGAGGTGGGGCACAGATGTTACACAGGGACAAGAAAATTCTAAAACACTATCAGCAATTCTTAAAACAATAAAGAGAAATTAATAAGAACAGGATGCTAAAGCAAAGGAGAGAAATCAAATGAGTTCATCATAGTAGAAATGAGTAACTCAATGGAAGAGTTGCAAGCTATAGCTAAAGAAATCTCTCAAGAAGTACAACAAAAGGACAAATACTGAAAGTAAGAGAGAAAGGATAGGGACTGGTAAAAGAAGAGATCCAAAATAAGAAAAATACTTCTAGAAAGCAAAACTGATCATGGAAGAAAGAAAAATCAGTATTATGTCCCGTAACTGAAGGTCTTAAGTTTCCACATTGAAATGATTAGCATAACGGATGAAAATAGATCCACTTTAAGGAATATCATGAAATTTCAAAACAATGAAACAAGGAGCAAATGTTACCTATTTCTACAAAAGAAACAGAAAAAAAAATAAACATCGTAAAAACCCATCAAGTAATACACTTACAACATGCCTTCTTCCATATATATATATATGTTGTACTTAGGTAAAAAGCAAAAAAATAAAGAAAGGAAATGAGTAATATTATCCTTTAGGACTAAACTGAGAAACCGGTTTACTTATTCAGTAAAACTATAAACAACATGATTCTTTAATAGGGAAAAATAATTAGACATGCATACAAGGCAAAGTCTTAAACTTGTTTTCAGATCTTTTATAAACAATGGACTAGAAGGACCAAATTGTTGTACAAACAGTCTAAGCACAAATGTGCTTCTTCCATTTGAGGCTACCTAACCACTCTGTTAGGCCTCAACATTAGTTGGCAAGTTTGAAATTTAACTTTTGTGGAAAAAAAGTAGGATAACAGACACAAAGTTTCTTTTCAAGGAAGACATAAGGACCCTTCAGCTCATCCCAAACTGACTTTGCAAATTCTGGTACTGACACAAAAATTTCCTGACCACTCCAAACATCAGCACAGCATACCTGTATCTTTCTTTGGAATAAATGAATTATGATCCACCAGAGGATGACCAAGACATTTCCAAGAAGTATTCTCTTTTTTCTTCAGGACAATCTCTATTTTCCCCACATTCTCAACAACCTGCACTGAAAAGAAAATAAACTGCATTTGTAGTCACTGATACTAAATACAAGATTTCATTTTTAGACCCATCTCTCTCAAGCAATCAAAATGTCTAGATTTGATATGAATGACAGTGATAATTAGTAAGATAAATAAGATTTTGTTAACATGCTCATCAAATTGTTTATGCCTTATATTATGCTAAAAAACTTTTTTCAAACTAACTTATTAAGGGCCAGAGTAATATGCTTTGCAATTTTCATAGAAGCTCAAATAGAGCTATGGCAACTAATTAACACTCAACTGAAAAAAAAAGGTAGGATTATCATATATAAATAAGCCATTGATTACACCTACTCCCTTTTAACATTTCTTCGTTAGGATTTGAGGAGGTTCTTATGAGTAACTTCAGTAGACCAATACTAAGCCTATTAAACACAAGAACAGTCTTTTGGAGAATAAATCCCTAGAGTAAAAATGCAATAAATTAACAGAATGTATATGAATCCATGAATAATTAAAACCTATTACATTTTTTAATGATTAAAATAACTTAGAATAGATAGGTATAATAGTAAAACATAGACTTCTAAACACTGACTTATGGAAAGGAAGACACAAAACCAGTGTAAGTTATTCTGACTGTACTTTAAAACAAGAAACCCATTTCATGATGAGTTTTTTATTGTCAAACAGCTGTGTACAATCCATACGGCACACTTATATGCAGCAATATTCATAATTTGCTGTTAACATTAAACATTTACGTATGTACATCTAAGAAAAATTTGTCTGGTCTAGTAGGACAGGGATCCCAGGCCACGCCCCACAAGTGGCAAGGTGGGAAGACAGGAGAAAGGAGAGGTTTCCAACAGGGAAGGGAGACAAACTTTTCTGATGGTTTGTCCTACTGTGGTTATGTGTTGCTGTGAGTCTTGAGGCTGTGCCAATGGTGTTTCAAACCAAGCGGGATACACATGGTGCACAGGTATCAGCCCAGCTTACAGACAAAGACAGAGCAGGAAGAAGGAAGAGGTCATCCACTTCTCAAAGAATTGGCTTATGAATAGCAGAGAAATACAGTCTGATACATTACTGCGCAACTTTATGAACAGTCCAGAAACACTGTATAATACAGAGGAGGAGGATGAGTCACGTAGCTTAGAAGGCTCTCAAAATAGGACTGGGAAAGAGCTGCATCATCAGAGCAAAACAAGCCTTACTCATCTGGATAAGATAAAGCTTTTGAGATCTCCATTTGCTGACATGGCACCACACAAACTGAAGAGAAACAGCTGCAAACATCCATTAATAATCGGAACATGGAATGTACAAAGTATGAATCTAGGAAAATTGGAAGTTGTCAAAAATGAAATGGAATGCATAAAGATTGATATCC